AAAAAAAAAAAAAAAGATTATACAAATTGCCCAAGATTGAAGATTATCTTTATTCTTCTAAGAAGAATCAAAGTCTACAGTTGGCTCTTCCAAACCCTAAACATACCTTACTGGTCTTCCTATTTTTGCTATATATGAATCTTTAGCATGAGTATTATTAATCATGACAACCATTTACTGAGTAATTATAATGTACTAGGCACTTTATCAGGAGCTATTACAACACATTAACTCATTTCAAAATGAGTCATCCTACAAGTAGCACTGTTATCTAATAATAAAAGCCAGTATTTATAAATCACTTACAATGTGCTTCATACTACCCTATGTGTTTTACTTGCATAGTTTCTTTTAATTGTAACCATACACCTATGAGGTAGAAACTATTATTTTAGACATTATACCTATAAAGAACTGAAGCAGAGAGGATAAAATTGAACGAATGCATGATTTGAGTATGGTACTGTGACCCCCAGAGCATGAACTCTTACCATACAAAAATATCTTGGGTCATAAACCCAAGAAACTACAGGCACCCAGTAGGGATGGCAATAAGGAAAGAGGCCTGATAGGACAGACAGAAAAGAAGAACACATGCCTTGTGTAAAGACCGCAGCTAGTGCACAACCCCAGCCAAGTGTCAGCATGTAGGGATACAGAGCCAGTGTCACTTTCCAGCTGAGGACACGGAGGCTTAGGGAGAAGTAGTAACTAATCTAGGCTTACAGAGCCAGCAAGCAAGCAACAGAGCTGTTACGATTTTTATATCCTTTCAAAACAAAGTTGTAAAGAAAACTAAAAAAGGATGTAAAAGGACNTATTAATGAAGTAAGATCTTTATACCTGTAATCTCCCTTGGGCTTGTACTGGTGTTAGTCCAGACTGTTGTATAAGTGCCCAGAAAACTGTATTATAAAGATTATTGATGTGACCTGTAAGGAGAACAATATAGTAATGTTTATATATACAGCATTTTTATTCAACATTCATACTTCAAGTAATACTAGAGCCCTGGCTCTCTCTCTTTAACGTAAAGAGATCTCAGGGACATTGAGTGACTTGCTCAAAGCCCTACACAGGGAACATGCAGGGGAAA